CCCCAAAACCCCAAAACCCCTTGATGAATAGTTTCGTACTTTAGAAATATTATCAAGAATGAATATTTAAAAGAGAAATGGTATTGAATCAAAATATTAAATAAAATAATAAATAAGAAAGCAGAATAGAATGACTGAAGTTTACGAGAAATGCGATTTTAAAACTCATGTGTATGCTTCTAACTTTTCCTTCTCCTAACCCCTAATATAGAGTGCTTATGAAAGGTATAACTTGGAGCCGAGACTCTCACGGTCTTTTCGACTATGAAAGTAGGCATCTTACCAAAAAAACGATGAAGACCAGTTAGGCAACGTAAATCATGAGGAAGAGCAATGATCTTGAGCTAATAAATTTCAATGAGCAAAACGAAGCAATCTATAAAAACACAGGACCCAGTGATGACCAGGAAAACAGACCTCTTCTAAACATTATCAATGAAAATGGTAAGAACATAACTCTAGTTTATTGCCAGAATATAATGGTGATATAATTTTCGAATTTTATCCTGCTAATAACTTTGACGCGGAAAACTCAAATTAAAACAATTCTTATAGGTGTATTTTATCTAAAAAGTTGTAGTAATCCATCAACCAAAGTCGAAAGCAAGGACTTAAATGAGTAGATGTACCTTGTCGTAAGGAGTCTAAAGCACAACAACGTGAAAATTGTTAGTCATCAGATTTAAAATAATTTCTTTAGGAGTACGATATTCAGCAGGGAGACATTTTGAAAGTAGGAAGGGTTAAATTCGCAGTAAAGGAAATTAGATACAAGGAAAAGATGGAAGTAGATTAAACCAACTTCCTTCCAGTTGGAGATGTCTAGTAAACTAATCAGCCTGACTTTGAAGAGTATGATGAGATTAAGAGTGCCATTCACTATTCACCTGAGACAGATAGCAACACTCAATCTGATGAGGACACCCCTAAATGCAGATTTTGCTGGTCATCTGATGCTTCTCCTGAAAATCCCTTATTCGCATCTTGCAACTGCTGTGGATCAGTAGGATACATTCATTTCTCTTGTCTTAAAAGTTGGCTTGATGTTAAAAAACAATGTAAAATCAGTCAGCCATTCTCATCCTTCTACTGGAAATCTTTTGAATGCGAGATCTGCAAGAAGGCCTATCCCTTAGTTATTAGAAGTGAAGGCAGAACATATAACCTTGTAGAATACGAACGACCTGATGGAGATTTTCTAGCTTTAGAGAGTTTAAATTAAGAAAAAAATACGAGCAGAATTATTCATATAATCAGACCAAATGACAAAAAAGACTCTTTTAAATTCGGAAGAGGCCACGAATCAGATCTAAGAATAAATGACATCTCTGTCTCTAGATGCCATGCTATTATAAAATTCAAGGACAACAAGTTTCAACTTGAGGATAATATGTCAAAGTTTGGAACCCTTGTCCTCGTTAAAAATAAAACTCCTCTAATCCCTGGATTCAATAAAGCTGTTCAGATCGGTAGGACTGTTATTAACTTCAGCGTAAAATCTGTTAGTAAATAGCACTTCGGTCCCAGACCTTAAGACGGCCTCATTAGAGGCAAGATTGAGGAAGCCAAAATCAGCAGCAAGCTGCCCATCTCTAATAATAACGACATGGACGATGACGGTGAGAATGGTGACTTTGGATAAAATGAGCCTTTTATCTCTGAAAATGCTCCCTAAGAATAGCAGCCATTTGATATGGCCATCGAGTAAGATGGAGCTAGCGGGATCTAAGAGGAGAATCGCAATGAGGAGATTCCTAACGAGATCCCTGACAATAGAAAAACTAAGGGAGGCTACTTTTGAAATGAGTAAGAAGCGGTTAAAGCTGCAGGGAGGAAATCACTTCTCGACTGAATTATATAGATTAGAGGATAAGTTGTATGGAGATTTATTTAAAACGATAAATGCAACCAGTATTCTTTATGTTAAAGCTTAAATAATTATTAATATATCACTACTAATGAATTTTATTTTATAATTAGTCTTAGAAATATAAATCTTACTTATAACTAAACTATATCTATAGCTACTATTCAAATCACTTTTTTACTAATTACAAATCAAGATTGCATGTAAAATGCCTTCTCTTTAGTTTCATTCATCTTAATTTTTAATGACTCCCGCGTGCTCTAGGAATTTCTATTCGATTTCATTTTAAATTAACTAAGTGATCAGATCTTCAAATTTTCTATGCTTTTTAAAATGCCTTTCGTAGCACATTCTCAGTTCAAACTTAGATTTAGTAAGACAGAGAGTGAAATCTATGAATTCGATCTATCTTGAATTTCGATCAGCTTTGAACTAGAATTAAGGCAAAAATGACTTCACATCGCTACTTAATACACTATTCTGCAAACTACTTATCTCATTAGGGAATCTAGGAACGGATATGTCCTATCTCGACTCAAAGTTAAAATGAGAGTTTTAATTCCTCTGAACCAGATCTAGCAGGTTGTTCTTTAATCTTTCAATTTCATCGTAATTTATTTTCTTAGATAAACTTCTATCATCACTCATCAACTCATTTATTTTTTCTTGGTAAAGTTTTGAAAGAACATAAACATCCATATATGGTTTGTAGTTTTATTGAAATTATTGGACGAAATCATAAAAGTATTAAAATGATAGAGAGGAACTCAAGACTAAGTCGAAGTCAAGAGCTTCTAACTTTCCCTCAATATTCTTAGGATAGGCTCTCTCTGGATGCCTAATCATAGTGTAAATGGAAAACATTGTTGTTGCACATAATGTGGTAAAGTTTCTTAGTAAAATAGAAATGTAAATTAATAGTTTTACAGTATTTTGTAGATCTATATCTGTCTAAACAGAACTATTTTAAAGTGTTTACTAGTATAAATTCATAGAAAAATAGAATATCGAAAACACTGTCCAAAATACCAGTACAAAATAAAGCTCTATTTTAATATTAAGTTCATTCTTGATGTTTCTGATTATCCAAAATGCTATTGAAAATCCAGCAATCTCAAACCAGTTAAAGATAACAAAAATTATCGCGTTAACCTCTTGCATTCCACAAGAAGTACTTGGCAGATTTAGGATATATTCCTGCTCAGTGAAGTAGCTCCAACAAGTTTAAGTATCATAAACTGGGATAATAGTGTAAATATATGGAGAAATGAAAGAAATAGAGGAAAGTAGGAACAGTGGTACCAATAAGTTGAAAATCATAAATGAAATTAATTGATTTTCTCTCCATTTCTTAGATTTGGAAAGCATCATATTCTCCTCTTTAGTTAAATAATTTGAAGTGCGCACCTCCTCATTTTCTTCATAGTTCTTTAATCTTAGCCAATAGCCTTCGTAGTATGACAAAACTTTATATATTCTCAGAGCTCTAATGTACAAATTTGAGTTTGATAATGACTGTATTTTACCTTAGCAGTATAGAGAAATAAGAAAGATAGTGAAATAACAAGGTGCAGATAATTGACAAGTAGCACTTCAAATTATTGTTATATGAGAATAATAAAACTGTGTTGGTAACTGAATCTAGCAATAATCCTTATAAAATTTTAAGACTAAATTATATTTACCTAAAGCTCCAAGGATAATGAGTTTTGGAGAGCGATTATAAATGGGATACTCATTTCTTTTATAAAATATGAATCCCATCACCATGAAGTAGAAGACTACCATCACACATATCCAAACGACTAAAATTTAGAAACTTCAATATTTAAATTACTTCCTTAA